CATTTCATGGCCAATTAGAAGGAAAACCCAATAATATAGAGCAAATAAGAGACATTCCTCCACTCAACATTCCAGAATGTAGGCACCAATGTTCATAAACAGTACAAGTTGGGGAAGTGGATGATAATGGGCCCAAAGACGAGATAAAGTGACTAATCTGCATGGAATGAAATAATTCAGATGATGGTAATCGCAGTCTTTCCCCACAATATGCCAGAGAAATAGGTTTACGGTCTTTAAAATAATCAATCCAATACAAACCCTTATCAAGCCACCATTTAAAGGCCTGAGATTGGTGTCCTAGAGAAAAAACTTGGTTCTGGAAAAGGTAAGCCAGGGAAGTGTGAGGTGATGACAAATTGTGACATCTCTTTAATCTATCCCACAAAGATAGGGAGTAAGACAAAGTCGGAGCCAAAATTGTTGGGCGTTACTTAGGTGTGAGCCACTTTAGTAGATAAAAGAGATATTGGAAACTGATTCAGACTCCATGGACACCCAATCCGGTAATTCCCCCTTAGAGTAAGCTATAGATAGTTGTGTTAGCTGAGCAGGCTGATAATAGTAACACATTGTGCACTCCCAAACCTCCCATATTGCGGGTCTTAAAGGAAACCATTTTAGGGAGTCTAGGTTGCTTTTTTCCTTCATATAAATTTGGTAATATAAGTTTGGAGTCTTAAAATATCAGCCCTGTGAATAACAATTGGTAGTGCTGCAAAATAATAAAGAATTCTGAGAAATAGGGGTTGATTTACTAACCTTATAAACACACCACGAACATGTATACACCTCTGTAGTGTGTTCCCTCCCAGCATGATCTATGGGTGGAATCTAAACACCTTTGTAGTGTGTACACACCCAGCAGGTGTGTTGTGCAAAGCCAAGCATGAATTTGCAAGGTGATCTTGTGTAAATTAGCTCTATGTTGTGTTGCTTGCGTTGATGAATGCAGGAATGTAAATGCATGAGCTAACCATTTTTGTCTAAACTGTGAAGCAGCATTATATATGCATCATGTGCATGATTTTTCCATATATGGCATTAGTGGAAATATGCTTTTAGAGACTTTTTGGTTGATAAATACGTTTTGCTGTGTAAAAATCACACGCACCTAGTGCGTGCGTGTGTTTAGGTTAGTAAATCACCCCCATAATGTCATCTTGACTGCATTAATGCGACCTAACCATGATAAATTATATGAGGCCCACTAATTTAAATAATCTTTTAGCTGTCGAAAAAGGTAGGGATAATTTACTGCATAAACTTGAGAGAAATGGGATGGACGTTGAATCCCCAAGTACTGCAAGGAGACAATGTTCCAGGTGAAAGGGAAAGAGGAAATCAAATGGGACCAAATGTCTATCGGCAAGTTTATAGAGCTCTACTAAATAAAAGACAACACGAGCTGCCTGCTTTTACCTGCTTTTACCTGGCAAGTGGCCCATGTGCCCTCTGAAATTACATTGTTGTTTATTTGTATATTGACATGTATGTTGCACAGAGCACCAACGTGAGCAAATGCAACATTCACAATATGAGACAGTCCTTTAATACAGACACACAAAGACACTACATATAGAAACAATAGCTATTTCAGTTACTGCATTTTTTGTTAATTATTATTTTAAAACAGTGATATAAAGCTGCACCTCCTGCACCAACAAAACCCACCTACTCATATACTAGCCAAGCGCCACCCCTTTCACATGCAGGTTGGTAAGAGAAGAGTTTGAGGTGTTCACACTATACAATCTTCTTTAGATATATCAACTATGCAATGAGAGCACGGTCACCTTAAGAAATTAAAAGGACCCGATACAGTCTACCTGGCATACCCCCCCCCCCATCATGTCATGCCTTGTAGGAAGCGGAGGCAGCCTTAGTGCACATCTATGCAAAAATCAGTACATCTCTGCACAATAAATGACAATGCACCCAGTTATGAGAAAATAAACACAGAAGATAACGAGGCTAAGCCCACCAGAGTCACATCTGTTTACGCTTTGTACTAACCACCTAATGTTAAGCAAGTGACAGCAGGGAACAATGTGCATGCACTCACTGGGTAAGGTGGGGAGAAGGAGCCGAGTTGTGATGCTGATTATGATGAGCCACCATCGCTCACCTAGACAAGGTCTGTGCTCCATGGATGCTAGCTGCTGCTTTGCTATGTGATTGACAGCTGCCTACTGTCATCCTGTGCAGGTGCTGTGCATCGTTGTCCACTGCCTCTGCCCCTCTGACGATATATCTGCACTGCCTTTACGTGGAGCTGCAATAAAAATTATACTGTGCAGAGGACAGCATTTGAGACCCTGTACAGTTTGTCGACAGTTCTTGCCAGGCCCCCCTACTCAGCTGATGGGGCCAGGTCCCAGTACATAAGGACTGCCTGTACCCCTCTACTGGCGGCCATGACTTTGAGTTATTTCTTTGAGATATTTCCCTTCACTTACTGTTGTATCTACAGGATAGAAGGTGAAGGGAAATCTCCCTAATAGGACACAGATGGCAAAAAGAAAAATCTGTCAGAGGTAAACCGAGATTTCGGCCACCAAAAACATGGCTGAAAATAGTACTTTGGGCAAAGCAGGTACTATAACGGCTGAAAATGCAGCAGAAAATTCTGTGCATCCCTAACTTCTCTCCTCCCCACTGGATGCCGATCCAGTGGGGAGGAGAGAGGGTTTCAGGAGGCGGAGCGGGGCGAAGACAGCTCAGGATGCCAAGCGGGACAGGGCGGAGACAGCTGTCACAGGAGCAGAGCTCTCCTCCCGCACCACCCAGCTCAGTCTCCCGTTTAAAAAAAATAAATACAATTAAAACATAGTTTAATCGAAATTAAAAAGGTTGGGAAAACAAAGGGTTATTTTCGGTTTCGGCCTGACAATCTTTTTATTTTCGGTCTCGGTCTAAGAAATTCCATTAAGGTGCATCTCTGGTTCTGACCACTCCCTTCCCTCTTTAAGGTGATGAATGCAGGTTGATCATGCCACTCTTAAAGTAGTAATACGCTTTCAAACTTTTTCAATAATGAATCCAGATCAATAAAATGTCCAGTAAAGTATTTCTTTAAATTTTTTCCTAAAAACGTATAGTCATCATGTTTACAAACTGCTGGCTCCAACTCTCTCATCTTGGATTCCCTGAACTTCCTGTGTAGTACAAAGTCACAAGGGACAGCGCAGTCTCCATCAGCTGTCCATATACTAGCTTGGAGGAGGAAGAAAGAGGGTGACTTGCCTTGCTGTGCCTGTGTGTTTGTGGAGACACACACAGCTTACTACCATGAACAAGGGTGGCTCCATAGGACCCTGCAAGGGAAGGAAGCCACCCTAAAACATGATATTAGGGCCAGTGCTCAGGGGGAGCAGCTGATTCTGCAGGTAACAAACTTTTAACCATCAAGATGCAGCATCCATTATAAGTGTTTTTATCAGCATTTCAAATAGCTTAAAAACCTTTTGACCTTAATATCACTTTAACTCTTCCACAACCTATTCATTTTGTGGTACCATAGGAGCAGGCAAAGGGGTCTGTTTATCAATATTTGTACCCAAGATTCACACAACTCTAAACCAATGATTTACATATTTTGACAAGATTCAATTCGAAAAAAGGTCTGAATCTTGGGTGGAAGATTGGTGAAAATCTTGATTAATGGACCCCAAAGAGTATAGACTTTTAAGATGCACCTATCCCACCTCAACATAATAACTGTCCTTTTACTTCTTCCATCAGCTCATCCTACACAATTATTCACTTTTTGTACCACTTACCCTACCTACTAGATTGTAAGCTCTTTCGAGCAGGGCCCTCCTAACCCCCTTGTATTAAAATTGTATTGTAACTGTACTGCCTCCCTCCATTTCATAAAGCAATGCGCAAACTGTTGGCGCTGTATAAAACCAGTACAATAATTATAATAATAATAATACACCTTCATTGTCATTACTGAAGGAACTAGAAGTAGTGTGTCTACCTTTCCTGCCCCCCTTCCTTTCACACACATTTTTTTCCTTTCTTGAGTACAGGTGCACTTTAAAATCTGTGCTGTCCCTTCATATAGATGATTTATGGCAAGTATTTACTGTCTGTGTGTGTGTGTGTGTGTGTGTGTGTTTGTGTGTGTGTACTCTAATGTGAGAAATGTCTAGTAAATTGATTTTTATCATACCAACACACCAAAAACCATATTAGTAGCTGCAGAGCTATCTAGGAGCTGGAGCTGTCAGTCACTGCCACTGAATTCCTTGAAATTGCACCACATTAGTGAATGTGACGTCTTAAGACAGAATGGAGATTGACAAGTCTGCTTCCCAAGAGGTCATGCAAATCCCTAAACACGTTACCGCACTGGTCTCAGCTTCTAGTGTGACAAGTTAAAGTCACTGCCCTTTAAACATCAATTGCATTCACAATTCTACATATGATGGAAATACAAAATGTTCCTTGGCATTAATACTTCTGTACTATTCTCAATATCACTTAGGGAGTTCAATGAACATTTATTTTCCAAAAATGTGTGAAATGAAACATTTCAGATTACAGTTTTGCATGCAATCGCACTTGTTCTATTGTAGTGTAAGATAATTAAAATGCAGAACTCTGCAGTAGACACAGAGAAGCAGATATACACTCAAACTTTAATAGTTGATGTGTCTTCTTATTGTAGCAGTAATTCTTTGATGTTGTGGAAGGATCTAATAATAAAAGGGTCAATTACCAGTATCATTTATTCTAACTGGAAGTCACAAATAAATCATCTATATAATTTAACTTCTATCGTAAGATATGAAGTAATCCAGAGAAAAGATCTTTTATTGTCACGCTAGTTCTGTTTGCCCTTGTAGTCCTAATCTTACAGAAACACACAATCTGTCACTTCCCTGCAGCTCTAATAAGTCCAATTGTAATCCCGTCTGCATCTCATAATAATCTCCCTGCATGGCTTTAGCAAGTGGCCAAGAAGAAGTGACACAAGAAGACATCCTTACCATTTGCTGCAGTGTGAGGGATCTCCCCTGCTCTGGTCTGTATGTTTTCCTGCACCTCTCTCTTCTCCTGCCAGCCTCTGTATTGCTACACCAGAATACGTCACTGATTCTAGTCTGTTACTCTACCTCTCTGTGTCCTGATTCTTCTTTCAGGCACATAGCTTGGAAAGCAATGCAGAGTGCAGAGCTTGTATCCTACTGGAAGACTTTGTAAGTTTATGGCAGTCAAAGAGTATGCTTCTTTCCATCACTCTGACTGCATAGAAGACTCTGCCATGCATATGTATATCTGTATTTGTATTTGTACTGATTAGCAGGGCGCAGGGAGAGATGGGAGCTGCTCAGACTGCTGAGTCTGTTGCTTGGCTCCAGGTCACTGCCAGCTGCTCCCATTCCTGCCTCATTCTTTCTCTCACTTGCTCACCCCCTCTCTTTGCCTCCCTACATTTAAAGCAGGGCCAATCTTAAATTATATGGCACCCGATTCAAATGTATATGGCACCCACTTCCCATCTCTGTGGGAAAAAAAGCAAATATTGCTCATTTTATTAACAATTGGCAATAAAGTTTAGAGTCAGGAAAAAAATCCCCTTGCAGTGTGGCTTCCCCCACACTGCAAGGGGTCACTGCTCTTTTTTATATAGGGCTCTGGTGTAAAGTAGTTTTTCTTACCTGATCCCCGCTCCTTTAGGCTCCATAGATACAACCCCTATCTGAACAACGATTATGTATAGTATAAATAATCAGTTGGCATTTAAAAAAAAAAAAAAAAAAAAAATGTTGTAACATGTATCCTTTTTTACATTCAGAATTGCTGATTGATCTCCTCAGCTTCCTTGCCACCACTTCTACTTCCATACATGCATGTACACCAGCAATGACTGTATGGCATTTATCCAGTAAGTTTTAATATTGGACCATGCCTTGTCAACGTGTGTTGAAACTACTACTTGCCTGTGTGACAAGGTAATAAAGCAAGAATGGGAGACACAAACGTGTCTATTTATACACAATTTGAAGGCCATCACCCCTGCAAATATATATGAACATTTGTTTTGGGAAAGTAATGGCACAAACAAATGTCCCTAATATATATACTTTCCCGGTTCGACTATAGCATGTTGTATTATTACATTATGGCCACTAGATGGAGCTGAGGAGTATCCGGTAAATATTTTTTATGGCCACTAGCACCATCTAGTAGCCATAGTGTATTACAGCACACTACATATGAACTGGGGAAAAATATATATTAGGGACATTTGCCTGTGCCATTATTCACCCAAAACAATATTCGCAAAGTCAAGGGCCTTGTGAATTGTTTATAAATAGACCCCAAAGTGTCTGACAATAGACCTTAAAAGCAGGATTGCTATGTATTATCTTAACAAACACATCAAATGTAAGAAGTTTAAAAGGACTTTTGTAATAACATTACCATGTTAAAGCTTATATCAAATGTTAGTGATTGGAATATGACCTTATGAAGAAATGTACATCCTCCGCCACTTGAAATTTGAAGATCTGTTGTAAATGTAGTGTCCAGTAGGGTTGGGCTTGATGTTCGAGCCGAACGTGAGTTCGACTCGAACGTCGCTAGTTCGTGTGTTCGCCTGCTGAACGCCCTGTGTGCATTGGAGAGCCCTGATTGGCTAAAGCTTTGCACCTGAACTGTGGCCCAATCAGGGCACAGAGAACTGTGAGAACCATGTTCGGGCAAAGTCATGATGACTCTGCCCAATCATAGCTCACCTGTTGCAACAGTAAACAGTTGGGCGGAGCTAGCTGTCACTGCTAGCTCCGCCCAATTGTTTATAAGTTGCCGTCATCTGTCAAAATGCCATTCTACGGCGGGTGTTCGGCGTAGTGATGGGATGGCCGTCGTCATTTAAAAAAAATAATTTCTATTTATTTTTTATTTAATCGAGTCATCGGCGTCGTGGACAACACTGGTCGTCGTGATTGACACTGGATTAGGTTGATGGATCAATTTTTGGATTTTTTTTTTTTAAACAAAGGACTTGTCAAAAATCCTTTGTTGTGGTTTTTTTTTTTCGAATCAAGGATTTTTGATAAAAGTCTGGACCTTTTATTTAAATTTGTTTGAACCCTTTAGTGAATGGGTAGGGGTACAAGTACCGCTTACTCATTCACAAGGGGGGACGTATCTGGGTGCCCCTTTATTAAAGGTGTACCCTGATGTGAATAAGCTCCTTGCCCGCACCCCCGTGCATTGGCACAGGGACAAAGTGTTTTTCCAGGGGCGACCCTGGAAAAGCACCCTCCCAGTGAAGGCATGTGGCCTGGTATTGAAGGGGGGGGGGGCGCTCCCCCCCCCCCCCCCCCTCTCTTGCCCTGCCAGGCCTGTGCTCAGATCAAGGGTCTGGAATTTTAGGGGGGACCCCACGTCCCCCCCCCCATTTGGGGGTGGGGTTCCCCTTTAAAATTCCTACCAGACCTTAAGGGTCTGGTATGACTTTTGGGGGGAACCCCACACTTTTTTTTTAACTGAACTGGGGTCCCTCCTAACATTGCTACCAGACCTAAATGGTCTGGTATTGTTTGAGAGGGGGAACTGCACGCTTTAAAAAGAAAAAAAAAAGTAATTTTTTTTCTTTAGAAATTTCAGTTTTGCTGCAGCAGGTTCTGTACGTCGTATAGATGCGCCACTTTACAGGCAGGTTAAACGGACCCCCCAGGCACTGAATTTAAAGGAATTTTTCATTTTTATTGTTACCCTTTAGGTGATGTTAAAATCACTGCTCCTTTGAAAACAGTATATTTAACCCTTTCGCTGCCAAGGACGTATGGCATACGGACCTACAAAATATTTTCTAAAGTTCTACCTCCATAGACTTGCATTGAGTTTGAGTTCGAACTTTTTGGATGTTCTAAAGTTCGAATGCGAACTGAACTTGGGCCTGTTCGGCCCATCCTTAGTGTCCAGTCCAATATACAGAGCATTGTCTTGTATCCAGTCTATTCCAAGAGCTCTGGCCAGGGGGAACAGGCCAATCTAAAGAGTCTGTTCTTGTGAATTGCCCAATACAAATGTCTGATGATAGATCTACCAGTCCTAATTCTAAGTTTAAAGCTGGTTGTATACATTAGATGGACAGCACCAGATAGAGGACTCCAACTCAATTCTTTAAACATCTGCATGTTTATAATGCACAAATTACCTAATGGGCTCACACCTTTGGGAGCTAAAAGAAGGTGTTTGCTGAGTGGTCTCAATTTCTACCTAGCAGCTCCCAAATGCAGAGCCTGTAAAATGGTAGTTAGCCAGTCAGTTCATTACATTGTCCTAATTCTGAACCGTGACTTGCTCCAGGCATAGAAGTACATTGCTTCACCTGGTGAGATGCTTAATCAGAAGAGCCTCTGAAGCAGACTAGAACACTTCCCACGGAACCACGCGGGATGCTCCTCTGCCCTTACAGATGATCTTGGTCTACAAACAATTTGATCAGACATGCATGAAATTTGTGGGCAACTGTGCTCGCCAAATTGGATTTGAACAAAGCAATCCTCGCCATTCTTAGGCTCTCTTCCTATAAGGATCCATACTTGATGCTTGGTGTATATGGAAGTACATGTTCAATTTATCTCTAGACCTTTTTATAGATTGGGGACGGAAAACCAGCAAGAAATAAATACATTAATTTGTAATCTCACAAGTGAATGGTATTTTCCTCCCTTCAGATGATGTGTTCTAGTCACATGCCCTAGCCACATTTTTACTATTAAAGGAGAACTATGGGGACAGTGCTTTTCCCCATAGTTCTCTTAAGGGTCATAGGAGGACAAAAACTAGCCCGGGGGGGATCCTCCAGCACTGACTGGAGGAACGGATGGGGGAGGGGGCGGGCATTCCCTGAGATCTTGTGAGATTACAAATGAAAAGTCACGGCTCTCTCAATGGCACCGTAGCCAGGCCCTCTGGCCACAATGCGATCGTCCGCACGGGATTGCAAGGCACATTGTGCCTGCGGTCCGGTGCAATCAAAATAGTGCTTGCAGCATTTTGATCACATCGCACTGGACCGGACCACAGGCACAATGTGCCTTGAGATCCCGTGCGGGCGATCGCATTGCGGCCGGAGGGCTTGGCTACGGTGCCATTCACTTCAATGGCCCGCCACGCCCCCTCCTGCCCCACTAAAAAGTGAGCCGGCCGCAATGCGAGGCAGTGCGTTCTGGCCAGAATCGGGCCGGAACGCAATGCAACTGCTGTGAACGGGCCCTTAGTCTTGGAGAGCAGCCCCCAGCATTGGAAAATTTGCTCCTGAAATTAAGTATTTTAAAAATTAAGAGCAGCATGTGCTCGCTGTTTACAACTTAAGTTACATGAAATCATATTATGGTGATTGCTCCCCAGATCTTCTGTTATATGAACATTTGTGATTAACTCCAAATTGTTTGATATTAATAGACCCAGCAGAGCATCATTTCTAGTTGGGGCTTTTATAAACTGTACCATGAAATTGCCTTGTAATAGGTTTATAAATGTCTTGTATAAGTTTATAAATGTTCACCCTGTTACTGTTCCAGCATTGCCATTATACCAGTCAATATCAGGGGAGTTAAAATCTCCCATTATTATGACTGTCGCAGCACTAGCAGCCCTTTCCATACGTATAAGGAGCGGAGTCTGTATCTCCTAATTAACAGTGGGGGTCCTGTAACAATCTGCACTAATTACTTTCACAGAATGCACACTAATATGTAACTTCTCCCATAATGCATCAGAATAGTCACACTCCCCATCAATAAAGTCTTCTTTCACACTTACGTTTAGATCACTTCTGACATAGAGACAGACACAGCCACCTTTTCGTTTTACCCGCTTTCTCCGAAAGAGTGTAGCCAGGAATGTTACCAGCCAAATCATGTGACGAACAAGCCAAGATTCCAACACATTAACGAAATCATAGTACCCTTCATACACTAAAGTTTCCAACTCTCTTTTGCTTGGCAGGCTTCTGGCATTGGTGAAATAACACTTTAATCTATTGTTGCATTTCGTGCTTGTATAAACCTTTTTCGTAGTACAAATAGTGCAGTAGTGGTCAGTAATATTGGTTTGTAACATAGGAATCTCATTATCACATGTAATAGCCCTCCCCCCATTCCACACTCCATTAGTGTCTGACTTATGTGCCCCATTATATTCTAGCTCTCCCTCTCCCCTCAATCCTAGTTTT